TAATTAAATCGTTTCAAGAAATCGACACGCGCTAACAGTACAAGTTCCGCTAACCGCTATTCGAAAAGTAGAAAATGTACGGTCAAGCATTGACCAAATAGAGTGAACTAAAGTGCTTTTCAATATTTTAACCCTAGGAATTGATAGTTCGTCCGTGGCTTGTCTCGTTGCGTCAATGTCTCATCTCGTCTGCCGAGCTGTCAAGAACGGGGATAAACAAGTCTTGGAGGATGCTAGGAGGATTGTGGGGGATAGGTAAGGGACTTAGCATTAAGTGCTGAGCTCAATTGAGATAATGCTCTTTACGATACGGACCAAAATTAAGACGCTTTTTTAGAGAAAGCTCTAGGCTAATACCGGCATAACGAAAGATAGTCGTTTCGAACAGCGAAGTGTATTACCCACAAGTTGTAACAAACCTGCAGCAGACTTGTAGCAATGCTGTTCCAACAACTTGTCAACAGGATGTGTTCGCACTGCTTGTTTCCAGCTTGTTGACAAGTTGTCAACGGCTTGTTGGCAACTTGCTACAGGGATGTTGAGCCAACAGATTTGTTGCAAGTTGTTGCAACAACTTGTTATCGTCCTGCAATTCAACAATTTGTCAAACAAGTTTTGAGTGACTTGTTGCAACCTGATGAAATAACAGCATTGTTACAACTTGTTGACAAGCTCGCTACAAGCCTGTTGCGAACATATCTTATTGACAAGTTGTGAGATTTTTAGGTGTGTAGTTCAGACACAAGCCATGTCAGTGTCCTGATAAATATTCTTTTTCTTAGAGAATACATCCCAGTGGATCCCAAAGAACTGGCTAATCGTATTTTTGTCACGTGTTACATGGGAAGTGAGAATTCGTCAGAGGACACTCGATCACGAGCGAAAAATTTGGCGCAGGATGTTGGCAGCTATCATATGGGTAAAATATATTTTATGAAATAATATGCAAGAGGTTTAGGCATGCTGAACCGCATTGCTTATGACAACGACAACAAAGACACCAACGACGGTAACAAATAACAACGACAGCAACAATGGCAACAACAACACAATGACAACGCAGTGACAACAACAGCAATAAACAGCTACAACAACAACAGACAACGACAACAACAACGACGATGGCAAAAAATCACAATAACAGCAACAACAACAAATTATGCAAACAATTACATCAACAACAACAAACAACTACAGCAACAACTACAGCAGCAACTACAGCAGCAACAACAACAACAACAAACAACTACAGCAACAACTACAGCAGCAACTACAGCAGCAAACAACTACAGCAACAACTACAACAACAACAACAACTACAGCAGCAACAACAACAACAACAACAACAACAAATAACTGCAACAACAACATCGATTGGCAACAACAACATAACTGCAACAACAACATCGATTGGCAACAACAACAACAACAACAACAACAACAACAACAACAACAACAACAACAACAACAACAAACAACAACAACAACAACAACAAACAAGAACGACAACAAGAAACACAACAAACAACTACAACAGCAACAACAACAACAACTACAGCAGCAACAACAACAACAACAACAACAACAACAACAACAACAACAACAACAACAACAACAACAACAACAACAACAACAACAACAACAACAACAACAACAACAACAACAACAACAACAACAACAAACAACAACACAATAACAACAACAGCAGCAACAAACAAGAACGGCAACAAGAACAACAACAAACAACTACAGCAACAACAACAACAACAACAACAACAACACAATGACAATACCAATAAACACTACAACAACATTGACAACATCGATGGCAAGAACAACAACGCAATAACAACGACAACAGAAACAAACAAAAACAAGAACAACAACCACAAACAACTACTACAACAGCAACAACAACAGACAACGACAACAACAACAACGACAGCAACAGCAACAGCAACAACAACAACAAGTAACTACAACAACAGTCGACAAGATACTTTTGGGATTTTAGCTTACAACACCAGAAAGCTAATATTAATTTTTCGTTCTTTTTGTGTTCTTATTTAGATATCAAAATCGACACTATAGTGTGTGCATTTCTTGCTGTCTTCACGGCAATCACAGGCAAGCGGCCTCAGTTTAAAGCCAACGGTGGGACAGACAGGGAGAACCTCGCATTGCAGAATATCCAAGCTCGCATCAGGATGGTCTTAGCTTATCTTTTCGCTCATCTTATTATGTGGTGTCGAGGAAGAAATGTCGGTCTCTTGGTGCTTGGCTCGGCTAACACTGATGAAAGGTAAACACATAAAAATCATTTGTAGAATCATACCGACACCCTACCGACGTAAACTAAAAAACAAATTTCGAAAAGACAAGACATCTTGAGAATACAATATATGATTCAACACAAGATGCAGGTTGAGACTGTAAATTTTTGACTTTATTTCAAAGTCATCTTCAGACAGAATGAAATACAATGGAAACAAGATAATTAATAAAGAAATGAGTAAACTCTGAAACTGGATTATTTAGCTATATTTACAACAATGTTTTACAGCATATCCTATAAGGATTAAGGTAGAAAGGAATGACCCGACAAGTAGAAGAAAATTAAGTTGGAGTGTTATGTGAACAGTTGTAGTTCTTTACTAGCTTTAAGTCCAGTGTTAAGGAAAGGTTTGTTGTCTTTAATTAGCAGTGCTTCAAGTAGTTCAAGAAAAGAAAGAATGTTGTAGTTGGTATAGATTTAGTAATGTGAAGTATTCTGTAGTTCATTCATGTTTCGCTCGCTACTCTGGTTTAAATAAATGAGTATTCTGTAGTTATTGAAAACAAGGTTTTCAATAGGAATTTCAATAGGTGTCAGAAAGCTAAGAAAGATCGTTGAGTAATGTGAACTGGTCTTGTAAAGTAGCTATACCGACGTATTCCGGGCATTAAAATATGTTTTCAGGGCCGTCAGACAAAATGTCCGATGACTTTGAGTTTGGGTCGGACATATTATGTACATGTATGATGTCCGATGACCTTCAGTTCAGTGACAATGTATTATTTCTGAACGGTAAATGTTGTGAAGATATTAAATAATTTGTGTCATTCATACTTATTTCCAAGCCAAGATTAACTTGCTTGCCAATAACAGCAGTAAGACTTCGACAACTTAAGCCCGTTTTCCACTTCACCATTTCGCTCGATGACATTAAATCAACATTTCCAGAGCACTTTTTATACATTACTCTGATTCTTCATTTAACATACGAACCTCTATAGGCCTGGACTAGGGTACATTTTGATTTACGTTGGACAATGTCCGTGAACGACCGATATTTCAAGGCTTGCCGTAATCTATATTTTTGTTGCATTATTAATGTAAACATTAAGTACTACTTAAACTGTTTTATTTGATTCATCTCTTTCAGCTTGCGAGGCTACATGACAAAATATGACTGTTCTAGCGCTGATATTAATCCCATTGGTGGTATTAGCAAGAAAGATCTGAAGTCATTCGTGTTTTATTGTGTGGAGAAGTTTAACTTTAGTTCACTGATCACCATCATGGGCGCAAGACCAACTGCGGAACTTGAGCCGTTGAGAAATGGAGTCGCACAACAAACAGATGAGGTAATTTTATATATACTGGATAGCTCTATCAGTTCTAAACTGTTCTTTATAGATGTCCAGTAAGGATCATCTCCTATTGGTCCAGTATTACTACAGGAGGAAACCTAAACTAAACTAACTTTATTTATACTGGATAGTTCTATCAGTTCTAAACTGTTCTTTATAGATGTCCAGTAAGGATCATCTCCTATTGATCCAGTGTTACTACAAGAGGAAACCTAAACTAAACTAACTTTATTTATACTGGATAGCTCTATCAGTTCTAAACTGTTCTTCCTGGAGGTCCAGTAAGGATCATCTCTTATTGATCCAGTGTTACTACAGAAGGAAACCTAGACTAAACTAACTTTATTTATACTGGATAGCTCTATCAGTTCCAAACTGTTCTTCCTGGAGGTCCAGTAAGAATCATCTCTTATTGATCCAGTGTTACTACAGGAGGAAACCTAGACTAAACTAACTTTATTTATACTGGATAGCTCTATCAGTTCCAAACTGTTCTTCCTGGAGGTCCAGTAAGGATCATCTCTTATTGATCCAGTGTTACTACAGGAGGAAACCTAAACTAAACTAACTTTATTTATACTGGATACAGTAGCTCTATCAGTTCCAAACTGTTCTTCCTAGACGTCCAGTAAGGATCATCTTTTATCGATCCAGTGTTACTACAGGAGGAAACCTAAACTAAACTAGCTTTATTTATACTGGATAGCTCTATCAGTTCTAATCTGATTTCCCTAGAGATCCAGGAAGAATCATCTCTTTCTGATCCAGTGTTACAACAGGAAGAAACCTAAACTAAATACCAGATTACCACGCCAATTAATGCATAGCTACACATTTAAATTTGTAATCCTAAAATTTTTTCATTTCCCCAGGCGGACATGGGTATGTCGTACGATGAACTGTCAGTATTTGGCCGTCTTCGAAAGATCGAGGCCTGTGGACCATTCCGTATGTTCTGTAAACTGTGCGATTTATGGCGAGATATACATCCACCCTCCCTCGTCGCTCAAAAAGTGAAGCATTTCTTCAGATGTTACGCGATTAACAGACATAAAATGACAGTTCTCACTCCCGCTTACCATGCTGAATCCTATTCTCCCGATGATAACAGGTGAGCGTAAATAAACGTTATAGAGTGTTGGTCATTCTGTACAATGAGAGCTGAATGTCGAATCACGCAGTTACTAAGGCCTGATTTACACTATCAAAGTTTCTGTGACCCCAGCAGGGATTTTGTATCGGTAAATTCTAAGTTTTGATGGATTTGTAAGAAATGTTTGACCCAGTCCTAAGCTTGATCAAAACTTCATCCAGTCCTAGGACTTCATCAAAACTTCATCCAGTCCTAAGACTTGATCAAAACTTCATCCAGTCCTAAGACTTGATCAAAACTTCATCCAGTTCTAGGACTTCATCAAAACTTCATCCAGTCCTAAGACTTGATCAAAACTTCATCCAGTCCTAGGACTTAATCAAAACTTCATCCAGTCCTAGGACTTGATCAAAACATCAAGTCCTAGGACTGGATGAAGTTTTGATCAAGTCTTAGGACTGGATGAAGTTTTGATCAAGTCTTAGGACTGGATGAAGTTTTGAAGAAGTCCTACGACTGGATGAAGTTTTGATTAAGTCCTAGGGCTGGATGAAATTTGATCAAGTCCTAGGACTGGATGAAGTTTGATCAAGGCCTTACAAATCCTTCAAAACGTTGAATTTACCCATGCAAGATTCCAACTGTGATCACAGAAACTTTGATAGTGTAAACCATCCTTAACGTGTCGTTTTGAAGGCTTAAAAGCCGATTTACATTCTACAATTAGCGTTTGCCTAAATTAGACGCTTGCAACCACTCACAACCACTGTCTCTTTGTAGCTCAGTTGGTTAGAGCTCGACAACTGTCTCTCTGTAGCTCAGTTGGTTAGAGCTCGACAACTATCTCTCTGTAGCTAAGTTGGTTAGAGCTCGATAACTGTCTCTCTGTAGCTCAGTTGGTTAGAGCTGGACAACTGTCTCTCTGTAGCTCAGTTGGTTAGAGCTCGACAACTGTCTCTCTGTAGCTCAGTTGGTTAGAGCTCGACAACTGTCTCTCTGTAGCTCAGTTGGTTAGAGCTCGACAACTGTCTCTCTGTAGCTCAGTTGGTTAGAGCTCGACGACTGTCTCTCTGTAGCTCAGTTGGTTAGAGCTCGACAACTGTCTCTCTGTAGCTCAGTTGGTTAGAGCTCGACAACTGTCTCTCTGTAGCTCAGCTGGTTAGAGCTCGACAGCTCTCTCTCTGTAGCTCAGTTGGTTAGAGCTCGACAACTGTCTCTCTGTAGCTCAGTTGGTTAGAGCTCGACAACTGTCTCTCTGTAGCTCAGTTGGTTAGAGCTCGACAGCTGTCTCTCTGTAGCTCAGTTGGTTAGAGCTCGACAGCTGTCTCTCTGTAGCTCAGTTGGTTAGAGCTCGACAACTGTCTCTCTGTAGCTCAGTTGGTTAGAGCTCGACAACTGTCTCTCTGTAGCTCAGTTGGTTAAAGCTCGACAACTGGACTCTGTAGCTCAGTTGGTTAGAGCTCGACAACTGTCTCTCTGTGGCTCAGTTGGTTAGAGCTCGACAACTGTCTCTCTGTAGCTCAGTTGGTTAGAGCTCGACAGCTGTCTCTCTGTAGCTCAGTTGGTTAGAGCTCGACAACTGTCTCTCTGTAGCTCAGTTGGTTAGAGCTCGACAGCTGTCTCTCTGTAGCTCAGTTGGTTAGAGCTCGACAACTGTCTCTCTGTAGCTCAGTTGGTTAGAGCTCGACAACTGTCTCTCTGTAGCTCAGTTGGTTAGAGCTCGACAACTGTCTTTCTGTAGCTCAGTTGGTTAGAGCGCTGCACCGGAATGGCAGGCCCTCTGTGATCCTACCCTTGAAGCAGAAGCAGGCTTAGAATTTTAAACTGTAATGAAACGAAATAATTTTGTGTGCTACGCCAAAAAAAAATTATTCAAAAACATTTTCAACGAAATTTAACTTAGGTTCGACCTGCGACCTTTCCTTTACAACACCTCGTGGAATTGGCAATTCCGATTTATTGACGAGCAAGTCCGACGACTTGACGAACCACAACGACTTCCGGTGCATCACTTCCGAGCCGAGGACCGTGGCGGTGGGCCTGAGAACGAAAATGCACCGCCGGACCAAAACAGTGCGGGCTCACACGGTACCGAAGGGAGCCTGGGGAATAATATGAATATAAAAACTGAAAAATTTGACAATTCTTCGTGTGGTCAATCGGCATGTCTGAACGGGGAAGAGAGTTTGGGCCAGGGGCGTGGACCCGAGGATAGCGTCAGCAGGAGCGTAAATCCGCTGATTCGAATTGGTACGAAACGCGGGCTCACCGAAGGCGAGTTTGGTTTTTCCAAAGTTAAAGCAGTGAGCTTGGCGGCTCCGTCTATCTCCATGCAAGTTGATGTGAAAAAATAGCGAAAATACTTAGTTTTCCAAACAGGAAAGCCATATACAATTAGCCCAACCGCATGTATATATTTTAGAGACACTGTTCTACTGTAGTTTACATAGAAGTGTTAGCAGAACTAACAAAGTTCAGAATAGTGCTCAGGCATTCAAATTATAACAATAGGATCATTTCCAAAGGTCTACGTCTTTTTGAGACGCCATATATGTTATAACAGCTATTTCAGTTAAGGCGAAAACCGCTGTGGACTGGTATTATATAATAATAATAATAAATTAATCGCACACCATGTTAGGTTTGTAGTAGAATTTTTGTATAAACGTCGATTGATGTAATAGATTTGTGACTCTTTGAATAAGATATATCTTTGGCTTAGGGCCTGTAAATTACTAAATTTCGACGATCTCACAACTTGTCAACAAGATGTGTTCGCAACAGGCTTGTAGCAAGCTTGTCAACAAGTTGTATAACAACGCTGTTGTTTCATCAAGTTGCTACAAGGTTGTCACTCACAACTTGTTGACGAATTGTTGAATTGCAGGACGATAACAAGTTGTTGGAACAACTTGTATAACAAGTCTGTTGAGCTCAACAACCTTGACCCAATTTGTCAACAAGCTGAGCTGTCTTATGACTCTCATGGGACCGCCCGATTTATAATTGTTCATGCAGAACAATGTGAAAAACGCATTCTGTAGAGAATTTTTGTCCAATTGGGAATTAGGAAAATTAGTTTGGTCAACTTTGCGGCATGGTATAGTCGCTTTCTGGAGAGGACTCTCTTCAAACCACTACATGCAAAAGGTAACTATAATATTTTGTTAATAGTTGGCCTATATTTAAACTTAAACAACAGTTGCATGAAAATTGACAAGCGAGAGTTTACATGAGAGTTGTCTCAACATTCATTGCTTGATCAAACGAGAACAGGAGTTGCACGAGAGTTGAGAAGCGAGAGTTTACATGAGAGTTTCTCAACATTCATTGCTTGATCAAACAAGAACAAGAGTTGCATGAGAGTTGACAAGCGAAAGTTTACATGAGAGTTTTCTCAACTTTCATTGCTTGATCAAACGAGAACAAGAGTTGCACGAGAGTTGACAAGCGAGAGTTTACATGAGAGTTTCCTCAACATTCATTGTTTGATCAAACGAGAACAAGAGCTGCATGCATGAGAGTTGAGAAGCGAGAGTTTACATGAGAGTTTCCTCAACATTCATTGCTTGATCAAACGAGAACAAGAGCTGCATGTATGAGAGTTGAGAAGCGAGAGTTTACATGAGAGTTTCCTCAACATTCATTGCTTGATCAAACGAGAACAAGAGTTGCATGCATGAGAGTTGAGAAGCGAGAGTTTACATGAGAGTTTCCTCAACATTCATTGCTTGATCAAACGAGAACAAGAGTTGCATGAGAGTTGAGAAGCGAGAGTTTACATGAGAGTTTTCTCAACTTTCATTGCTTGATCAAACGAGAACAAGAGTTGCATGAGAGGCGAGAGTTTACATGAGAGTTTTCTCAACTTTCATTGCTTGATCAAACAAGAACAAGAGTTGCATGAGAGGCGAGAGTTTACATGAGAGTTTTCTGAACATTCATTGCTTGATAAAACGAGAACAAGAGTTGCATGAGAGTTGAGAAGCGAGAGTTTACATGAGAGTTTCCTCAACTTTCATTGCTTGTTCAAAAACAAGAGTTGCATGAGAGTCGAGAAGAGAGAGTTTACATGAGAGTTTCCTCAACATTCATTGCTTGATCAAACGAGAACAAGAGTTGCATGAGAGCTGATATATGACAGTTAACTGGATATTACCGGTGAAACGAACAAAGACTCGCATCGAAATTTGATGAAAGTCGACGAGAATTGCAACTCTCCTCCTCATTTGAACATGGGATTAAGAAAAGCTGAACATGACAACAGATGGTCGCGTGTGAAAAGCAATTATATATAACTGTTTATTGTTTCTCTGATGCACAAACGCGTTATGCGTGCGTATATAATTAAATACGCAGTATTAGACGAACTATCACAAAATATCAGGCATGATGTATTCCTAAAATCATTGCCATTATATATTACGCTTTTCCAGCCACTAGTTTGTCTGGGTAATTTGGTCTTGTGTTTACGGATGATCCTTGTAAACGTAAACAAGCTTGTTTCATAAATGGTCGTTGTCGTTCGACTGGATTGTGCTGTATTTTTCTGTATAGGTCATTGCCTATAACGTTTGTGTGTTATGATACTATTACTACTTGGAAAATTCAAAGGGAACTGAATCATGAAGGTAGAATTTGTTTAGAATCCATTCATTATACTTTTATGAAACTAAACTGAGTTTATTTTTGCTGGATAGCTCTATCAGTTCTAAAATGTTCTTCCTAGAGATCCAGTAAGGATCATCTCTCATTGATCCAGTGTTACTAGGAGGAAACCTAAACTAAACTAACTTTATTTATACTGGATAGCTCTATCAGTTCTAAAATGTTCTTCCTAGAGATCTAGTAAGGATCATCTGTTATTGATCCAGTGTTACTACAGGAGGAAACCTAAACTAAACTAACTTTATTTATACTGGATAGCTCTATCAGTTCTAAACTGTTCTTCCTAGAGGTGCAGTAAGGATCATCTCTTATTGATTCAGTGTTACTACAGGAGGAAACCTAAACTAAACTGACTTTATTTATACTGGATAGCTTTATCAGTTCTAATCTGTAAGCCCTAGCCCCTAGAGATCACCTAGCTGTAACGACCATTCTTTAATTTGCGGTGTTAAGTAAAAGTAAACTGCATTTTTTTTACAAGCGTCTGTCTCAAACTAAATGCGGGGCTGACCAATTCTTTTTTAGTTTTCTAAACATTTATTTTAGTTATAATTATATTTTAAAACACTAACAAATTCATCAGCTTTTCGGGCGTATCTAAATGCTCCGCTGGGCAAATTGGGTTCGACTTGTCCATATAAATTGCAAATTCGTGAAACGAGTCGATACAATCCCATTCAATTATTAAGGCTTCGCTCTTTTGACTGTTGTAAACAGTCCTATCGTTTGTGTCTATTTGTTTGCACTTTTGGAAGCTGCAATGTTCAGTATTTAATGCAATTCGTTCAGTTTTTATCAGATTTCGTTCAGTTTTCATCGCATTTCTGTTGGTAAAAGTTTTCGCGCTGTTATATGCATGGTTGTGCTGTCCATACTGCGAAGACAAGCGTTGTTGATTCCAGCCATTCCATTGGCTAATGTTGTTATGATAACTTTGCGATGATTGGTTAGACCTGTGCATCTTCATTGTCATTGGTTCCATGTCAGCCAATAAAGTTGCTTCGTTGTGTCACTGGGTAGACGAGGCCTTTTCTTTTCAAAAAGTCTTGAATAATATATATTTTGCTTTATTTCCAGATAAATTAGCGCTCTTGTACGATCAAATTCACTTAATTTTCTTCCAAGAATCGATTTTAAAATGTCCAATTTAAATCATTTAAATCCTCTCGGCCAAATTTGATCCTTTTTTTCCTGTTAGATTGACCTCAAAGTTGTCGTAATATAGTATATCTTTAGTCGAAGATGGTTCCAAATACAACATATAGTTCTTACATTTGGCTGATGGTTTGCCAAAGCAAAATAATTCACGCTCAATAGCTAATTTTTTCTGATATATCGTAAACTTCAGTAGCTTTTTTCAGAGAAATCTTGATATATGCAACTGCTTCAAAGTCGGAATAAAATTGTCAGGAAAAACTCGCGAGTAATTCGCAGTCGAAATTCTGTTTATATTCTCGCTATATTGCCAAGAAAGTGCCCATTTAATTTATAGTGTTTTCCCTCGTAGCTTCTTTAACCGAATGTTGTTAAAATGTGAATTGATTCGCCTTTTATTCAAGGCGAAATGTGGGAAGCATTTTAAAGAATACACCTGCCCTCGGCTGAACATAATATAATCAGGAGAAAGCCTTTTGACTTCGCAAGCAAAACATCTGTCAGCCATTGTCTTTTCCACGCATGTGACGAATGGTTTCGTCTCGGCAACACAATTTGTAAAACACGCGGTAAACCGTTTAAAGCATGGCTCCATAGTTTTGGGCACACATTTTAGCACGGTAAAGAGTATAATTCATACTCGTTTCATTATGGTATTATATGATGTTTATATTCAGTACAATGCGAAGGGCGTTTTTGGCTTCTGTTTAAGGCTTTTGTGTAGTTTACTGTGCACTAATTATGTTTAGTGCTACTATGCATTATATAAGCAAAACACGCGTCCTATTTTTAAAACGCGTGCCGCAAAATTATATTAAAATTATATTTATACATATAGCTTTTTTATAAATGAATGGTATGAAATTGTGAAAAAATAATCTTCGTCTTTGCTGTAAATCAGTTCTAAACTGTTTTCCCTAGGTCCAGTGTTACTACAGGAGGAAAACTAAACTAAACTAACTTTATTTATACTGGATAGCTCTTTCAGTTCTAAACTGTTCTTCCTAGAGGTCCAGTATAAGGTTCATCTCCTATTGATCCAGTGTTACTACAGGAGGAAACCTAAACTAAACTAACTTTATTTATACTGGATAGCTCTATCAGTTCTAAACTGTTCTTCCTAGAGGTCCAGTAAGGTTCATCTCCTATTGATCCAGTGTTACTACAGGAGGAAACCTAAACTAAACTAACTTTACTTATACTGGATATCTCTATGACTCTATCAGTTCTAAACTGTTCTCCCAAAAGATATCCAGTAAGGGTCATCTCTTATTGATCCAGTGTTACTACAGGAGGAAACCTAAACTAAACTAACTTTATTTATACTGGATAGCTCTATCAGTTCTAAACTGTTCTCCCAAAAGTGATCCAGCAAGGATCATCTCTTATTGATCCATTGTTACTACAGGAGAAAACCTAAACTAAACTAACTTTATTTATACTGGATAGTTCTATCAGTTCTAAACTGTTCTTCCTAGAGGTCCAGTAAGAGTCATCTCTTATTGATCCAGTGTTACTACAGGAAGAAACCTAAACTAAACTAACTTTATTTATACAGAATATAGCTCTATCAGTTCTAAACTGTTCTCCCTATAGAAGTCCAGTATAAGAGTCATCTCTTATAGACGATACAAACAGAATATATATCTAAAGTAATATATAGCTCATTCTCGTGACAGAGACTTTTCTATTCTTATGAAATATACACAAAGCATGCAATGTCTTAAGCTGTATGATATTTTAGCAACGTGTTTTTAAAAGATCTTTTGCAAACAATAAAACAAATGATGTTTGCCCCCACGCTATTTTGACAACGTTGGCCTTTGTGTAATAGTTAAATTAAATTTGCATATGTTTAAATTGCGAAATATTTCTCAAACAGAAAGCGTCATGTATGTTATTGTCTTTGATGGAATTATAAATTGTTTAATGGGCGAAAATATAGGCTCGCTTTTTATGCAACTATATATATATAACCCCGAATTGTGGCACAGGAGTTAAGAAATAACTCGTGAACGTTTTTCCAATTGTCATGCCGATTTACATATAGCCATGCAACAAAGAGTTTAAAAAAAGTTGTAGTTCTTGAATATTTTGTTTAAAACTGCTGCTATATAACAATTAACTAACGAATAAAACTTGAACTTCAAGAGATGACTCTTACTGGACCTTATAGGAAGAATAGTTTAGAACTGATAGAGCTATCCAGTATAAATAAAGTTAGTTTAGTTTAGGTTTCCTCCTGTAGTATAACACTGGATCAATAAGAGATGATCCTTACTGGACCTCTAGGAAGAACAGTTTAGAACTGATAGAGCTATCCAGTATAAATAAAGTTAGTTTAGTTTAGGTTTGCTCCTGTAGTATATAACACTGGTTCAATAAGAGATTATCTTAATTACTGGACCTCTAGAGAGAACAGCTTAGAACTGATAGAGCTATCCAGTATAAATAAAGTTAGTTTAGTTTAGATAATTCCTCCTGTAGTAACACTGGATCAATATAAGAGACGATCTTTACTGGACCTCTACGGAAACCAGTTTGGAACTGATAGAGCTATCCTGTATAAATGAATACAGCTTATTTCTAGCAATGTAACCGATATAGCTTCACATCCTAACAATTTATTAAAAACACTTGTCCATTTGATTGTTTTCGAAAACGTTGTTAATACAACTTTTCTGTATGCTTTATTTGTGCTTATAATAAGAAAAAGGCTGACCAAATTCATGCAATACAAAGTAAACAAAGAGAACAGCTGACCGAATGAAAATTACAATTTCAAAATATACATTTATCTGCATAGAGTAGAATGAAGACAGACGTTTTGCGCAACAAATCTATGGCATTCGCCCTCTTATCGATTTAAACACTGCAGACTATAGACAGTCTACACGCATGCATAACTTTGAAAATCTATCAAGAAATTAAGGTTTCAGCATTAAGATTCATATACATAACAGCTGAAAAAGAGATGTCTGCATTAGATAACTTTTTGATAATTGTTTGAAGCAGTGGGCATGTTTAGTTTTGTTTGCATCTTATCTATAATCCAGGATTTTAATCGGTAATTTATTGATGCTGGATAGCTCTATCACTGTATCAGTTCTAAACTGTTCTCCCTAGAGGTCCAGTAAGAGTCATCTCTTATTGATCCAGTGTTGCTACAGGAGGAAAACCTAAACGAAACTAACTTTATACTGGATAGCTCTATCTGTTCTAAACTGTTCTCGCCAGAGATCCAGTAAGGATCATCTCTTATTGATCCAATATGAATATAAACTTTAGTTTAGTTTAGGTTTCCTCCTGTAATAACACTGGATACCTCTTAGGACTAGGGAACAATTTAGAACTCATGCATAAAGTTATCCAGTATAAATAAAGTTAGTTTTTGTTTAGGATTCCTCCTGTAGTAACACTGGATCAATAAGAGATGATCCTTACTGTACTTCTAGGAAGAACAGTTTAGAACTGATAGAGCTATCCATTACAAATAAAGTTAGTTTAGGTTTCGTCCTGTAGTAACACTGGATATGGAATCTAGCTGAAATCATTCTTCTTCTCCCATGAGATTGAAACCACTAAAAAAGAGCCCTTTTTTCATTTAGAGTTTTATTCAAAAAGTCTTCCATTCAATAATATATAATGCTTTAATTTGTAAAGTTACAAGTTATAGGACAATGTACCTTCAAATGAAGTTAAAATATAAAAAGGCATTTTACTTTTAAGCGCCTCGATATAAAATACTCTACTTCTGTTTTGCTATTTGTTATAGCGATAGTTTTGGCCATATGCAACAAATGAGGCCTTGGATATGCAATGAATGTAGAACGTGGAATATTCCTGACCAGTTCTGGCAAATTTGCTTGTCGTAAAAGTTCACTTGCGTTATGAAAGACCTCATTCGGGCACTAGAGATGCTCTTCGCCCAGTAAGTTCCGTACAATATTAGCTATATATATATATATATATATATATCTGGTGTAAGAACTCGAAATTAGACTACGTTCATACCACCTTGGAACGGTTTAAAACGGCGCAGAAAAGTCACAATCAGCCGTCGTGTCCACACTACGCCGAAGCGAAATTGTTTGATAACGATACCTTTGCCGTAACAATTTGAGCACGGTTTCTAAACGGATCGAGATCGATGAAAACGGAGCGCTTGGCGGCTTCGTGTCAACACAAACGCCGTTACTTTTTTGTACCGCTTTTGCAAACCAAGCATCTCGGGTCTCGAAACAGTAAATTCGAATTCTTTTCGTTGAAATTTCTTTGCTCTATTTGAAATATTTTGGGTTTACATGAGTGCTAATTTAATTTGTAAACAAACTATAACGGCGTAGTGTGAACACACGGAAATTCTGCAGGCATTATTTCGCTTCTGTACAGTGTCAGCGGTATGAAAACTTTATACGAACTTCATAAATAAAGTTTCGACATCAATGTATGATTCTAGCTATAGCCTAAATTTTGATCAAGCCAAGAAGAACGAAATCCAACACCACAGCTAGAAAGAGCGTCTTAGAATGAGTAAAACTGCAAAGATTGGTTGCTAAATGTTGTAAAATGAAGAAAATATAGACCCGTGAAGTTGCAAATTTTGTATATATTTGTGTGACGCCCGGTAAAAATAACCACTTTGGACTCAAAAAAATGGTTATTTTTCCCACGCATAATGCAAATATATACTAAATTTGCGAACTTCACAGGGCTATATTTTCCTCATTTTACATCAATTCGCAACCAAACTTTGCAATTTTACTCATTAGTTAAGACGCTCTTTCCAGCTATGGTAATGGATTTCGATCTTCTTGCCTAGATCAAAATTTCGTCTATATCAGGAGTTCTTACGCCAAATATATTATATACAGTATATACAGAGCTCTCTTGTTTCAAATGTATTCACGGGCGTGCGGGCTAATTTAGGTCCACGCCTTCACCACACCGCAATGCAGGACAGATGTATCCACAGGCATGCGCACTACCATTCTCCGCTGTAACCTGTACAGTCTGAGCCCGCGTCGTCGTCATGGAGATTTCGTCTCCGTCTGCCGCGATTAACGGACATGACCGAACCGGCGCTTCCCCGCCGTTTCTTCTGCTTCATTTCTTTCTTGAATTTCGCTTTCCGTTGCTGATAACTTCTCCAGTACCTAAATATAACTATTCCAGCGGCCTTCTCTTGCGCCGTCAGCTTAGCGAGCCGTTTCTTTTCTCGAGAAGCTGCCGACGTTATCGGCTGCCCCCCGTTCAATTGCCTGTTTGAAGGCGTACGCCGGGGGGAGCGTACGGAATCCGGTTCTAAGGACAGACGTCTTTGCCTGCCTTCGTTAGCGAGACTCGCGCTTCCAAATTTGGGACTATTTAGCGAAACTTTAGATTTCTTTTCCTCGCTTTTATTCTCCGTGAGCTTCTTCTCAATTTTCGTTATACGCTTGTCGATCGAATTGATTTTATACATCATTTTGTCTTGACAACTTATAAAATTAAGCATGTCTTCTTTCATGATATCAAAATCAGACTTCGGCCCACCCGCGCTCTTCCCAAAACGATCATTTATAACCGCCCGGAGTTCGACCATTTCCTCTTTCAATTGTTGAGTGATCCGGCCGGCCGCATTCTCTGCCGACTCCTCGTAGTAAAGCGCTTCGGGGCTGCATTCGCTCTCGATAAATTCACGATAGGCTTTTTTAGTTTTATTTCGCAACGCCTTCTCTATCGATATAATAGTCTGCGCGCGTTGCATTACCGCGGTAGAGATTGCGTTCTCGTAGACGCGTTGAAATGTATCGGATAGCAACGCAATTAAAAGATTTAGAATCACTATGGAAGCGAATGCGATGTACGAACTACACAAAATCCTAGCCATTGTTGGGTCCGCGTCATAAAGGTCTTTGAAATTGTAGTCGTCCACGACCGTCATACGAAATATGTAAACTAACAGATCGGAGACGTTCGAGTACCCCGCGACGGGTTTCGGACTTATTCCTCCGAATAAAATCCAGAACGCGGCCGCGTATGGGATGTAGAAGACTACGTACAAGAATCCCCATTTTACTATGTTGTCTATGACGTGCCCAAGCATCTGGACGAACGGTCCTGGGCCTTTAAATGGCCGCACATATTTGAGAATGCGCAACCATAGAAGAATTAGCAGGAATACTAAGATACGCATGTGTACTTGGTACGTTGTCCCAGAGCGAAGGAAGAAATTCACAAGATGTGAGATTATCGCAGTCACGATTAGAGTACAAGAAATCCATTCCAGGTAATTCCATGAATCTTGAAATTGCAAGGCGTTCGCATCTTTGATCATTTTGATCTCGCATTCTAAGTACCTCGCTTCTTCGGGCCACCGAGGATGGCAATACTCTAAATCCCTTTCTAAATCTCGGATTTTCCAAGCCTTCCAATTCGTGTACTCCTTACGATTTATAAAAGTATTCTCAACTTGAATCCGTATCTCGTTAATGGTCAGCAAAATGACCACGATTTCGATAAATAATCGCCACCATTTGCTTGTCAACGGCGTGTAATGCTGCGAAACATCCAACGGTTGGGTCACGGCCAAAAACGTCCATAAAGTCGCGAAAATGATATTGACAATAAGGCTCATCCAAGCGCCTGTCTTGCCGAATTTCTCCCATTTGACGTTGATGAGTCTTTGAAAAACAGGATGCATTATAAGTTCGAACTGATTGTGTTGAACTGCCTCAACCAAAGGCGATTTTGCACAACTGTCTGGCATCTTGTGCAAATGCATGCACTCCAAGTAATTTAAGTAGAAATACTGTTTTCGATTCGTGAAGTCCTTTGAATGCATTTGTTCCATGGCTTCCAACGCGACGTGGGGCATTTTTCGGATGAGAAGCGATAGAACGACACTGCCCGATTTGTCGTGGACAAAAGCCGGTACGCCACGTTCAATGAGGATCTTTGCCGTTTTGCCACGATTCAGCTCAGCGGCGACCTGAACGGAAAAGTTTAAAATGTGTTAGACACTATTTAGAACACGGAGTGCTTTGTCAGATATAAAACAGGAGGTGAAATGCAGCCGAGTATGGTTTTTTTCCTTCTTTTTTTACAATCTTTGTCAGATAATGACAGGTTATACTCACAGAGCTGAAACTGACTCCTCTACGGGTAATCTCAACTATTTATACAGAATACAAATAAGTGATAATTATTGACAACACGATTTAACAGAGACGATAGACAAGGGACAACTTGCCGAATCGTGGATGACATTTACCACATATTGTTTTGAAAATTTGTGGCAGACCAATGTCATAAATTTCTTCAGACATTTTCTGATAGTGTTTAAAGAGATTACATTTAAATTGATTAATAGAGAGATTTGATTGACATTGATATATAGCACTTGAATTTGCATGGGATATTGATTGCGATATTGTTGTTTGCCGAACGTTGAACAACTGTTTTTTAAAATCAGCCAAAAATTAGCATAAAACAGCCAATTTTTACAGGGTTTTCACCAATTCCTAAAACGTAAATTCAAGTGCTATATATCAAAATTTAAGTTAGTCCTTCCTGAATGGAATGATCTATATTTATAGCTTTCACGTTACATGAAATCAAACAGTAAAATAAAAATATCCATAACTCATTACTGCCTGTACCAAACTCAAATACCTTAGTTCCTTGCACAACCAATAGACTCAGGTTTACACGGCTTGTATATAGGTTTTGAACAATCACAAAGCAAATTCGAAAAGGCTCTTAGAAATAACTTAATAACAAATTGAGAAAATAAGCCCCAGAGTTTTGTGCCAAGATGTTCCAGATTCATATTGAATGCGGGTCCCAAGTTTGTTGCAAATCTGCCAATTACGTTTCCAAGTTCGTAAATTGGGCGTATACATTTCAATGTTAGAAGTATACTATATCCAACACGAGTAAGTGTTCTACCTCTGACTTCTAAATACAGACAAGCAGGTTGAAAATACGAGGCGAAGCCCACGAGTTTTTTTAACCAGCTAGTCTGTATTTAGAAATCAGAGGAAGAACACTTACTCGTGTTGGATATAGCTTCCCAAACGAATCAATACTTCGAATCGAGTTTAAAGTTGTCGAAAAACGGCTCTCTTATTTCTAAATGCAGAATTGATATGCACCAGTTCTAGTGAATTTCCTTCATGAAATTTCCTTCAAGAACTTCTACTCATAAACAAATGTTCATAGTTCAAGTTGAAATTAATAATTCAACGGAAAGTTTTTGGTCCAGTGGGCTACCAAGAAGGTTTGTATTTCATTGAATTGGTTATTATTATTGAGTATGAACATTTGTTTACAAACGAAGTTCAAACATTGAAATGTACTTGCGAACTTTGTTGCGAAGTTCACGACCAATTTCCGAACTTCGAAACGTAATTGTCGTCGATTTATCTGGTATTAGCTTACCTGAAGTGGAGTTCTGCCCTTGTAATCTTTACACGTCGTATCCGCTCCAAAATTAATGAGTACTTGCAACGAAGATACGGCATCGTTCTTGGAAGCAAAATGGATAGGTTGCTGATGCTCTCCTCGAGTTTCTAAACTGATATCGGCCCCTTTAGTTAGTAGAAACTCGACCATCTCGCCGTAATTTGCTGCCGCTGCGACGTGCAATGGTGCCCGACCAAACTTGTCCACTTGGTTGATGTCGGCCCCTATGGGAACATAAAAAATTAAAGTTGAAATTTTGTATTTTTTTTATTTTCATTTGGAAAGTATTCGATGATTAGTGCGTGAGCCTTTCATTCTTAGTTACCATGTATGGACGAATAAGAGCTGACTCTTACTGGAAAGTTTTGGGAGAACAGCTTTTAACTTATATAGAGGATATTACACGGCGGCGCGAAGATTTGACTTTTATCTTCGAGTGGTGAACACAATATTATCTAGTCCCAAGCAAAAAATTGTGAAATTTCACGCTCAAAAGCAAATTGGAAAAAGTCACGTGATCGATATCTTCACTAGTGAAGATATGGAAAATATCTCACTGTGTATTTTTCAGTATCTCACTCTCTACTATATAATAAATAAAGTTTATAAATTTCCTCCTGTGCTAACATTGGATCAACAAGAGATGATCCTTACTGGACCTCTGGAAGAACAGTTTAGAACTGATACAGCTATCCAGTATAAATAAAGTTAGTTTAGTTTAGGTTTCCTCCTACAATAACACTGGATCAATAAGAGATGATCTTTACTGGAACTCTAACTTTATTTATACTGGATAACTCTATCAGTTCTAAACGGTTCTTCCCAGAGGTCCAGTAAGGATCATCTCTTATTGATCCAGTGTTACTTCAGGAGGAAACCTAAACTAATCTAATTTTATTTATACTGGATAGCTGTATCAGTTCTAAACTGTTGTTCCTTGGGATCTAGTAAGCATCATCTCTTATTGATCCAGTGTTATTTCAGGAGGAAAACTAAACTAAACTAACTTTATTTATACTGGATAGCTCTATCAGTTCTAAACTCTTCTTCCTTGAGGTCTAGTAAGTATCATCTCTTATTGATCCAATGTTACTTCAGGAGGAAACCTAAACTAAACTAACGTTCCAAACTCTCACCCTACCTTGAGTTAACAAGAACTGCGCGACGTCAGTATGCCAACTTCTGGCGACTTCGTGAAATATCGTCTGCCCATGTTTATCACTGCTCTTTACTGAGGCGCCATTTTGCAGCAGACTTTCAACAAATGAGAAATCCATCGTGTCGTTGATGTGGTTGGAGGAAGCAAGCGTTGCAAAGTAGTGGATAAGGGCATGGTTACGAACCTGAAAATGTTTAGTTGAATTGATAAGTGTTAACTTTGATTGGCATTTCATTAGCCTGTGCAAGGCTCATTAGGGTCTAGTGACCCTTCACATGGTATTGTTTCCCTATTGATCCAGTGAACCCTAAACTAAACTAACTTTGTTTGCATTTGATAACTCTATCACTTCTAAACTGTTCTTTCCGGAGATCCTGTAACGATCATCTCTTATTGATCCAGTGTTAATACAAGATGAAACCTAAATTAAACTAACTTTATTTATACTGGATAACTCTATCAGTTCTAAAATGTTCTTCCTAGAGATCTAGTAACAATCATATCTTATTGATCCAGTGTTACTACAGGATGAAACCTGAACTAAAGTAACTTTATTTATACTGGATAGCTCTATCAGTTCTAAACTGTTCTTCCTGGCGGTCCAGTAAGGATCATCTCTTATTGATCCAGTGTTACTACAGGAGGAAACCTAAACTAAACTAACTTTATTTATACTGGATAGTTTTATCAGTCCTAAACTGTTCTTCCTAGAGGTCCAGTAAGGATCATTTCTTATTGATCCAGTGTTACTACAGGAGGAACCCTAAACTAAACTAAGTTGATACTGGATAGCTCTATCAGTTCTAAAATGTTATTTCTAGAGGTCCATGCAGTGAGGGCAATCCTTTAGAAATCCAGTATTACTATAGGAGGAAACCTAAACTAAACTAACTTTATTTATACTTGATAGCTCTATCAGTTCTAAACTGTTCTTCCTAGAGGTCCAGTAAGGATCATCTCTTATTGATCCAGTGTTACTAGAGGAGGAAACCTAAACTAAACTAACTTTATTTATACTTGATAGCTCTATCAGTTCTAAACTGTTCTTCCTAGAAGTCCAGTATTATTTTCTGGAAACTCATACAAACCTTTTTCTTATCTCCAGCAGATGGACCAGAATTACGATCTCGAAATCTCGGCACGACTTTCTTGCTCGACTCATCTTCCTCGAGCTCTCCCTCGAGTACCGCGTGTGTCGCAGCGCCTGTGACCTTTGTCGACCCAGGCAGCTCTGTCAGAAACACCTCTTGGTACTGTTTGAGCTCGTGCGTCATCTTGCGCTTGGCGCTGAACTGCTGCCATGCTGAAGTGCATTTCTTTAACAGTTCAAATGTTGGGTTTGGTTTCATTTCCAAAGCGTGATCTCCGTCGGACTCGGACGACTCTTCCATCATGGTAGTGAGGTGAGTCTGTGAAAATTAATTACCGTGTTATGTTACAAGGGTTTTGAACCGCGTTATACCAGCGGACATAACAGTATGCTGGATAGATCTATCAGTTCTAAACTGTTCTTCCTTGAGGACCATCTCTTCTTGAGCCAGTGTTACTACAGGACGAAACCTGAACTAAATTAAATTTATTTGTATATTGGATAGCTCTATCAGTTCTAAACTGTTCTTCTTAGAGGTCCAGTAAGAGTCATCTCTTATATCCAGTGTTACTACAGGAGGATAGCTCTATCAGTTCTAAACTGTTCTTCCTAGAGGTCTAGTAAGGATCATCTCTTATTGATCCAGTGTTACTACAGGAAGAAACCTAAACTAAACTAACTTTATTTATACTGGATAGCTCTATCAGTTCTAAACTGTTCTTCCTGGAATCCAAATAATTTACCGCTTTAAACTGTCTGCCTAATTTAAATTGCTATAAATTATTGATTAGTTTGCTAAAAACATGACAAAATGAAACTTCATTAACTCCGAAATAATGGATATGTAAGCATGTATCATGTATGGAATTGTCGTCAAAGGGCATAAAACTTTGTTAACGTTATCTATAACGTGAAAATTCTGTTGAGTTTGAATCGTGACAAACTAGCAAATAAGCGCCCAAAACGCGAAGCAATTCTCGACTCAAATTTACAAAAGACAAACTTACAAAGACGTCTTAAACTATATATACTTTTTTTACACTTTATCTGTGAGCATGCGGTTAAAGTTCTTCTATTTTATATTTATGTTTTCCTAGCTCAATCATCGGTTAATCAACTTGATCAAACATTAAACCAACGCACATGTATATTAAATTCAATCCATAACTTTAAATCTTGAGAACTGTTCAAGCCTCATATTAAAATGGGCTCCTATATAATTACTTTTTCTCATTAATTAAAAAAATAATATTCTGCATAAAATTCTTAAAATGTTGTCATTGTTTAACATTTAAAGCGTTTTTGCAATGATTTTATATATATTAACTGCTTTTGTTTGAAATTGTGGACAGCATTTCAATTACACCGTTTTTCCGAAAGAATTAATGAAGGTCGCCGATCAAAAACGATTCAAATTGGCAAAAATTATTTCAAACATTATATTCTTGCAGCTATTTCAAAGGTAGCTTTATATGATTTATAAATTTAGCAAGGTTATGAAAGTGAAATACTTGGCTGGCTATAACTTTAATATATTTACCATATGAACATAGAGAAACACGCAAATTAAAAGGTTAATTGCGCTTTAACGAATTAGTTATCAAATATATAGTCAGAATCGGCATTCGGCCAAATAAAAGAGTTTTAATAAGGCATTAATTAATCTGTGAGTAGAACACTTAATTTATACACCAATAAAAACTCTTTTAAATGCTTAAAAACGTTGAATAATAGTTGTCCTAAGTTTACAATTGTATAGTTTTGTTTTAAGCTTTTAATTTAGATTGATAGTTTCGTTCAATATCAATGCGTGAGTCATATATATAAACATTATCCTTAACTTGTAAAATTTTAGAGAACTAAAATGTATCTTTTTTGATACTTTTAATGTCGAACTTTTAGTTTTAAAAGTTTAAGCTTCTGTTAAAAAGGATGTAGGTTCTGATTTCTGTGTAACTATAAATTCATTTCTGATATAGCCTGGCAGACATGCACTCGCTATTAGCTGTTTCAAAACTTAACAGGTATATTGGCATCAGTCAAATTAACCCAAAAATATCCAATCTATTCACCGATGAATTTATAGCAATATTACAATTTCACTACAATTTATCATTCTTTGAAATTAGCTGACACAATTTAACGCATAGAATGACAAATTATAGCCTATTTTAACAGTTAACGCTGTTCAAACTTTCAAAGTAAACAACGGTTCGATGAATAACGATTTGATAAATGCTCGCTTACCTTAACTACCTAAAATGCAAAAAGAATTCCCAGCCTAAACTTTGTGAGGCGAAATAGGTTCCCATATTAATCCAGCAAGGTTTTTGGGATCATTTTGTATCCATTTTGAGGTACAACCATTAAAATAAAGTCCCCATAAATGCAAAGATTTGAATTGATAAGCTAACGTTTGTGGTTTTGAGCATAGCGCAGCGCTGCAGTACACCTGTCATGCTAATTCTATAGAATTAAATATAAAGCTGTTTGGTGCTTAAAAGGAATTGTTTATAAAATAAAACGGTGTCGTAACCAATCGCAAGGCCCCCAGCATGTTGTGCAACATAAATAGACCTGTAAATCTAAAACAATTTGACCAAAATGCCTTCGTCCTTGACATTTGCAAAATATTTCATTCAGGTTTGAATTTAACTGTATACGTTATATTGTAGTGCATTTCCTTGCGTTTGTATTTGGTTCAGTCCAATGCCAGACGATTTTACTTGTCGACAGGGATTATTTTAAAGAAATTTTATCACTGACTGCACAAAAGACATAAAATAGCAGCAATGTCACACAGCAAAGGAGCGCTCAGTAGCTCTCTGTAGACAAGCCAACCTATTTTTGATTAAATAATTCGGCAAAACAGGAAAATTTTACAAACTTATAAATGGGGATATGGGCATCACTTTGACCCCAGGAAACCGACGAAAAGCATGAGAAGGGGGGTGTAGTATCGCATTTGCCGACAACATTTCAGTCGCTACTTAATAATTTTCCCCAAAAATTGTTGGCGAACGGAGGAATCGCAAATTTTTCCGGACATGTCGTCTTAAAGAAAATTACTCACATTTTGGAAACACAAACTTGAAAATTCCTCGAACTAACCTTTTATTCAACAATCAAGATAGATTACGAACTAGAAAAGTATACTTATCTATAATAAAAGACTCAAACAAAAGGAAAACCTTAACACGATTCAGATTAAGTAACCATAGCCTTGAGATTGAAACTGGTAGATAGCATAATATAGCCCGAGAAGAACGACTGTGTGGTTTCTGTCACTCGGGAGAAGTCGAAAATGAATCTCACCTCCTTCTCACTTGCGATCCTTACGATGACATTCGAGTAAACTTTATAAACAGTCTAAAAATCGATCTCACTACTACTGAGCAAGGGTGGGTTGACTACAAAATTTTTGTAGTTCGCTATAACTACAGCTACTTCAAAAATATGTAGTCAGCTACAACTACTGCTACTTTTGAACAAAGGTAGTTCGCTACTGACTACAGCTACTGCTTTAAAAATGTAGCGACTATTTCGCTACGCTATAATTTTTAGTTTTACTGTATTTGGAGCATCTACTAACTCAGGCTGAAATGTAACCTATAACAAATCGACTTACGAGTAGCAACAGTAAACACAAAGCAACATTTTTGTAAGCGCGCACTACAGTGTTCAAGAGTGCAAATTGACTAATGAGTATATTGATTTTAAGCAAACCGTGTCTCAGTGGCCCGTAGCCTATATCATTCTATTCTACCAAGTCAGTGCTAACAATTTTAAAAAGTAGCGAATAGCGATTCGCTGTTTGAAAAGTAGTCAACTACTTGGCTACTTTTAGGCAAAATGTAGTTCGCTATAACTACAGCTACTGTTTTAAAAAAGTAGTAAAAAACTACTGGCTACTTGAATATTGTAGTTCGCTATACAGTAGCGAACTACAACTACTTCGCTACTACCCACCCTTGCTACTGAGACAAACGTAAACGAACCAACTTTATCAGTTGACATGATGAAGTCAACTGCTAGTGACACCATCCTGAAATTATCGAAATTTATTTTTTCGTGTTTTGAGGAAAGACTTAAACAACTTGAAGCCGGGAATGCTGGTGGTCATTAGTTAAACTTTCCATCCTGTAAATAGTATCTTCTTATAGGCTACTTCTTAAATATTTTTATATAGTTACAATGTTTAATACGTTATAGTCAAGCTTTTAGCAATACCTGTAAAATATGGTCATGCTAATAAAGCGATTATCAATGTCGTAATTTTCCGGACATACAAAAAGTTTTCCGCACATATCGTAATTAATTTGATAACTTTTTCCGTAATTTCCATAATTTTTGCTTAAAACTATTACTTTTTATTCCGAGCCACTCAAATATTTTCGCTGACAACGAAAATAATTTGCCGATAAATCTGAAAACATTTTGCCGAGTCTAGCAGACATTTGTCGAGTCCGTGATGAATGGGGGGTGTTACACCCCCCCCCCCACACATACACATGGCCCCATACCCCCCTCTGGCTACGCCTCTGGAAGGGGAATTGCAAAAGACAGAACTATTCAGGTGGCCGACTGCATGGGTGTCCTAATTCTCCAGAAAAGTTTCACATTTTTTAGCCTTTCATTTCTTGCATTTTCAGAAACAATTTTCAACATATTCCATCTTCAAAGATTGAATATTAGGCCGTATAAAAGCATGAGGTTAATAATCCTTGACTTGCCGATGGAAAAATGCTCTGGCATAAAAGAGTATTCAGTTAGTTAGTATTTTCCTAACTTTAAATCATCTGCCAGGCAGGGTCGTAGGTTCAATTCCTACCAGACAACCTTGTGCTGCATTTTTCGCAGTCGTTCCTGGTTAGGTCTTAAAATGTATATATACTCACAGTGCATGGATTACAAACCCTAAAAACAGCATTCTAATATTACCAAGTGAAGTGCAGAAACCAGATCATTTAAGTCCACCTTATCACAACCCGCACACCCGATCACCTATGTATACATGAACTTACTGTTACAGCTCAACAGCTAGCCTCTGTAGCTCAGTTGGTTAGATCGAGCGCTGTACTGAATCGGAGGGCCGTAGGTTCAATTCCTACCAGAAGACCTTGTGCTGCATTTTTCGCAGTCGTTCCTGGTTAGGTCTTAAAGTGTATATATACTCACTTGCATGGATTACAAACCCTAAAAACAGCATTCTAATATTACCAAGTGAAGTGCAGAAACCAGATCATTTAAGTCCACCTTATCACAACCCGCACACCCGATCACCTATGTATACATGAACTTACT